TGTGTGTGTCCTTTGTGTGTAAGATGTGTGTGCTGGAGATAGGAACAACCAGCCTGTCCTGTGGTTGGTCAGGGCTCACCTGGAGCTGGGCTTGATTTCTAGGTCTTTGGATAGCTGTGGCCTAGGGATAAGTTCTTCTAGTTCCCAGCTTCTCTTTACGAACAGTAGGGATATCAGAAACTGTGGGGAGGACTGTGTGCACCTAAACCTGTCTGGGGAGGTCCCTAATTAGCTCATCTCTCCCTACCCTGCTGCAAGGTGGGACAGGCTGCCTCATGTTACATGTTTGGGATGGTTCTGTTCCACATTTGTGTGAGGAATCTGCCTCCAGCTGTTCAGAATCTATGGACTTCTCACTATAGAGATACTAGGTCATGGAGGAGTGACCTCAGTAAGGAGTGGTCAGCAGTGGTCCCTTGAGTCAGCATTCTATTCCCATAAAGAGGACTTTTTGGGAAACAACTGCGGTGGTTTAGAGTCCCATGTAGTACCATGGACAGGGCTGGGACTCCAGGGTCCCAGATCTCAGCTCAACCTATCATCTCTAGAAGAGGCTACCTCGGTCAGCTGAGAGCTTCTTGGCAGAAGCAAATGTCTGCTTAGCTAGCTGGCTATGGCCTATGAAGGCTGAACATCTCAGAAGCCTTCGAGGTTATGCTAAGCTCCAGGTACTACAAGGTAAATAGGACTCACAATGCACAGAAAAGAGCTTAGCTCAACACACACATCCGTTTTCTTGTCAGACTAGACTGGGCAGCAAGGTAGCAAAGCAGCCCACACAGCTCTGCAAAGGTTAAGACCCCTCCCATCCCCCCACCCCTTGCAGAGTTTGGCCTGCTCAGAGACTCTGACTTTGAAGCCACCCAATGTATACAGCTGGTTGGGAGCACCAGCAAGTTCAGTGCTCTGCCAACCCCTGGCGAGTGTGGTAACTGAGCAGGATCCATTGCAGAGGCATGCAAAGGCCAGCCACTGCAGGGTTTACGGCACAAAGTGGCTGTCTAAAGCTGTCCTGCTTCAGTGGAATTTGTTCCCATGGGGCCATTGCTGGCCAGGGATGGGATAGAAGTCACTCCATACAGTTAGGCCCATTATGGAAGTCAAGCCCACAGATGGCTGCACACAGACAATGCTCTGTGCTTTGATTGAGTCCCTCCTGTCTATGAGGTCTATGTTAGAGCCAAAGAAGAAAGGGGCACCAGAGATTGTTAGCAGGGAAATCACCCCACTCCAGTTCTTAGAGGCCTGTTAGGACTGGAAGCTCTGATCACCTGCAGCAGTGCTGAGGACACTTGGGGAACTGCTTACCAGCTGCCGCTGCTTGGGGGGCAGAGCGGGTGGAGGGGCCGGCTCCTGCATGGAGTCACTGCCGCAGAAGGAGTCGCTGAAGCCGTAGACCTCCATGAGCATCCTGTTCTTCTGCTGGTAGATGTGCTCACTCTGCGGTGTCTGGTAGAACATGGAGGGCTGGGGCTCTGAGTAGTCCTCCAGCAGCTGCATGTAGGCCAGCACTGTAGACAGAGGGGGCTGCTGTTCTCTCACCCATGCGGAGCCCACAGCTGTCCCCACCAGCGCCCAAGTTCTCGGGGCCCGAGAGCAAAAATGCTACTCTGGGTGCTACTACAAAGGTGGACACGTGCCATCACCCAGCTGGTCACTTACAGAACCCTCCTGTGCATGGTGGGCTCTGCATGTGATGACTGTCCCATTCTTCCACAGTAACCGATATCCCTCTCTACCAGGGCTACTGACATTGGGGGAGGTTGTGAATATGGGGAATTTCTGTACTTTCCATTCAATGTTGTTGTGAGCCTAAAACGGCTCTACAAACATAAGGTTCTGTTAAAGAAAGCACAAGAGGCACTTTGCTCCCTTCCTGCACAAGTGCTAGGAGTTTCCATGCTCAGGAACACCGAGGCTCTGCGGGACTGTTCAGCTTCAGCCTGATCTTGGGCTTAGCCTTGCCTCTATTAACTTGGACCAAATAATGAACACACATAGGGCTCCTGATTTCCTCAAGTCTTATCTTTGACCTCCTGTGCCTGGGGTTCCCTATCCACAGTCTGTCTCTCCCTACAGTTTGTATCTAGCAGTCTGTGGCCGTTAGTCACTGTTTGCTGAGGATGTGGTATTGTACATGTATGCATGGGCACAGATGCTGGGAGTACACAGGGCCAGCAAGGTGGATCCTCTGCCTTATGGGGTTCATACTCTGGTTGGGTCAACAGAATATACACATACCGACACAATATGGCATTGTAGCTCCACAGAGAAAGAAACAGTGTGGTGGCTGTGGGTTCTGCTTTAGACATGAGGATGGGCCAAGATCTTCTACCCTAGTGCACAGGTGATACAAAGGCCCAAAGGAAAGTAGAAAGGGTGGGCAGAGCACAGTGTGCACGCAATCAGGGAAGGAAGGCTGGGCTGCATTCCAGAGAGGCTGCTTGCAGCAGGCTTTGTTCTGAACACCACCAGGAACTCCCCACAGCAGGGCTCCACTTGGGAGTTGTATGGGCCCGACACACATCACACGGTAGCTTGAAATGACTCTGAGTCTGTCCAGTGATGGCAGGAATCTAAGGGAGTTGTAGTGAGAGCTAGTGATGTGGAACAGTGCCTGAGAAATAGATGGAGCAGGGTTCACGTCTGCCTTTGCTGACACCCTAGCAGGGCAGGACCTATGTCTGATTCCATGAACATTTGTAGACAGATGAATGAAACACGCTTCCAGCAAGTGCCTCTAGGGACTTGTTAGCTCACTGTTTCTATCTGGAAAGACACAGGCCAGGTCAGCAAGAGAAACAGAGGATGAGGGAGAAAGTACACAAATGCTAACTGATACATCTGTTCCACCCCTGCTACCACCATCCCCTTATATATGGAGGCTAAGCTGCTATCTCCCAGCTAAGCTGACTGTCACAACCTGTCTGCCTGGCAGGCCAGCCTCTTTGCCTCAGCAGGGTGGCAGCCAACAACAGCAGGGTTCTCATGAGGCTGGGGAGTTGAGAAGCCAGAGGATCAAAGCTCAGCTGCCACCCCTCTCCACACAGCAGGTGCAGGGCCAGCAGCCTCCCCGTGGTGGTTAGTATGTGCTCTGTTCTGAGTGACCCAGGCCTCACTGTCCACAGAGCTACAGGGTTCTGGAGTATTATGCCTAGGGGCATGAATGCTGCCCAGAGAGCAAAGGGAAGTCAAGGCTGGCCTTCTATCCATCTCTACCCTAGGCACTGGAACCCTCCTACATACATGGAAGGGCTGGTAGAGAGAAGGACAGCGTTGGCCCTTTCATACCTAGTTAGGACTGAGTATCAATTCACTCATAGAGAGAGCAACCATGGAAGCTGTGAAGAAGAGGAGCCTGGGCTTAGGATCAAAGGACCTATGTTAATGTGCGACAGACACAGGAACAGCAGCCTTCAGCATCTTCCAGGCAGAAACGTTCTCCGTACGTTACACACCAAGTGCCAGGAGCCCATTGGTTAGAAGGCAGAGGAAGCCAGCCTGAGAGAGTGCACTTCTCCCTGGCATCCCATGTGGGGCATAGGGTGTTGGCCAAGGTACTCTCTTGGCAGGTCCTCCTGGTGTTTATGCTGAAAGGAAGGTGCTATGTTTATTTCATAGAATACAGAACTTGTTGACTCTGTTGTGCACTGACAGATCATGGCTGTGTTCCCCATAGCTGACCATGGAAGAGAAGTGCTCCCATTGCCCCTCAAGCCCCACAGTGACGCTGCTGTATTCCCGCTCAGTCACAGTCCAGAGGTGACCCTAGCCCCACCACTGGCTTTCTACAAGGGTCAAGGAACCTTCTCTAGCTAATGTGCCATCAATCTGGTCTCCCCAGATTTAGAACCTCGTGGTGCTGAGGTCCTGGTAGAGACCTGCCCACTACACATAAAAGAACAGCAGTGAGGTTCACCCTCCCAGGACTTTTCCATATTGGGCAGTGACTCAGATGCCCGACCAGCCAGCAAAGCTGGGAGTGCTTGACTGCACATACTTCTTCAGACATGGGCTCTGGGAGTATCAGTAGCCGACAGTGCTCAGGTACTCCCACAGGCTACTCTAACAAGAAGTAATGACGGGGCACCCTTAGCGAGGACATACTATGCTGTGTATGAACTCGCTCTAGAGGTGCCAAATATAAGGGCTGACAGTCACTCCTCCTTTTCGCCAAAGCACTTCTGCGTAGCTTCCCACTGGCTCACATATGGAACTCTCCCATGGTGCCCCCAAGAAGTGAAGGGCAGACTCTGGAATAGGACTGAGCTCAGGGTATTTCAAATTTGGGGCTCTTTCACTGAACATAGAAAGATGACCCCTTCAGGGTGGGAGGTGGGGAGGAAGACCTTTGATGAAAACACAGTAGGTCTTAAGGATGGAAGGCAAAGCTTCCTTCAGACCCAGCCAGGCTCAAACCCATACGAATCCATACTGCCTGTCACCTGCTGCTCTGAGGCCTGGCCTGGAAAACTAACTACATAAGCTTCTGCTCAGAGCCATCACCTTGAACCCTTGGTTGCCCTAAGGAATCTGCAAGAGAAGGCCCTTTAGCCACAGCAGGACATAGCTTTAGTTGCCTCTCCTGCCACAAACAAACCCATTTCAGCCACTTGAGACTTGAAATGAACAGAAGCAATGGCCTTGTTCTCCCTGTCTGCCACTACCCTCTCTGCAGGCTCTGCTTAAGGGCTTCTGGCCACGCTTGTTCTAAGAGGTGCAAGCAGAGGCTTCCTGGCTTGCAGTACCACTCATCTGATATGGTTTGATAGACAGAACCCTGTTCCACACCCTAGTCTGTAGGACTCCTTTGATGAGAAAGCAGGTGCCCCCAATGTTAATAGTGCTCTGGTATTGGGGGGTGGGGGCAGAAGCAGCCCAGAAAGATCTGTTCCCACTGCTGAGTGTTCTCTCTGCAGAGCTTGATCTGCAATGAGGCAGCGTACAGGACACATGGGATGACATCATTGGTTTGTGGACCACCCCAGCAAGGCCATCACAAAGCTATGACACATCTTGGGTGTCGGGGGTGTGGTTACAAACTAGGCTACTCTGGTCCTGGGATGTCTCTGCTGGGCATAATGAAGCAGGCCTTCTTTTGGGAGTAGGAAGCCCTTATTAGGGTATTGAAGTGCAATATTTAGTTCTAGGTATCCTTGCTGGATTTGTACCAAGGTAAGGGGACAGTTGGGCTATGAGGCTGATGTGGCCACATACATCAAAATGGTGACATCTGGATTGCCAGGGGAAATCTGAGAACAGTGTTAGGGAGGTGAAGGAGAGGGTGGAGCAGTGTGGCCTGCAAGTTTCCCATGTGGAGCAGTTGGGGAGGGAAGACAAAAGATGCAATGTCCAGAATGTTACTTAGTAATGCTATGGCAAACTTACAGTTGGAAACTGTTCAAAATACAAACATTCCACTTTCCAGATCCACCCAGCCTAATAACATGTGTCTATTAAAATATCTAGTCCAAGAGCTGACATTAGTCCTCTGGCCCACAAGCTCTGATCTAGGTCACTGTGTGTATCCTGTCCGCACTCAGGACAGCTAGATAGGCTCTGGTTATACACATGCTACAGCATTGCTGCTCTAGGTGCCATGACACTTGGGCACCTCTGCCACCATTTGAGTCTGCATGCCATGACAGTCAGCTGCCTTTGTTACTAAGTATTCAGGCAAAATGGGTTGCATTTATAGAGGAGAGATACCTGGAAGCATCAGACCAGTGATTTCAAAGACCTCAGAGGAGAGGTGAACTAATTAGACTTTCGAGAACCATGAGTAATGATAGTATTGGGCCCCTGGACATGACCACATGTGCACCTATGAGCCTGTCCTATAAGAAAGAAAGAGGTCATGGACTTGATTTTGGTCTCATGTTTGGGCTAAGCAAAACACAGTACTGTTGAGGGTTACAAAATGTGCTTACAGGGAGCATAGAGAACTTACTGTGTTTGTTTTTCTTCTCTGGTAGAGGAGGTGGCTTCTCTGGGTCACTCGCTGACTCAGGAACACTGAAATCACCCACAAACTCAGCAGGGGTGGAAGAAGCTCCCTGCTGAAAGGGCAGGATAGCAGCAAAGGGCGGGTAGGGCACAGGCTGGACTGGGTTCTGCAGGTCACCCTCTGAGATGTTGTCGTATTGTGAGGGGTGTCGCTCATAGGACACCCTGCAGCCAGAGCTGTCCGTGGTCTGGGAGACTGCGCTCCTACGCTTCTTCTCAGGAAGGGCAGGTGGAGTGTCTGTCTGCTGTCCCTCCTGTTGGGGACAGCCGCCCAGAGGCAGCTGGAAAGGGTGGCCAAGAAATGGAGGCCCAGATTCCCCCAGGGACTCCGGCAGTGGGCTGAGGCTACAGGCTGCCTGTGGAGGGGTCTGGTCTGCATTGGACAGGTCTTGCTGGAGGAATTCATAGTCGGGGTCATAGTGATCTGCAAACCACACAGGAAACACCCATTAGCTGCATGCCTCCAGAGCCGTCACCCCACCCGCTCTGCTCCACCCCCTCATATAGGACATGCTTTATGTATGCTCTCTCCTGTGGGCTTCTGCTTAACTGGATAGTCTTTATCTGGCATGAAATGTAAAAGTTAAGGAGGTGGTAAGATGGCTGTGTGCTATATTGGCCTCCC